TTTTATCTATTTAAAGAAAGTAAATATCTTATTTTGATAATACATATTGAATTTATCATAAATAATATTTTTTAATTTCATCTTAAATGATTTTTTTAATTTCAAATATATTTTAAAATAATTTTTTTTAAGATAATTTGTAAATTAGTTTCTGAAGAAATAACTTAAAATATTTTTCAAACCTTAAATGCATTACATGAGGATATAAAATAAAAAAGAGAGAAAATTTATTTTAAATATGTTTTTAAAATGTTTATTTTTTAAACCACAAGGGGTTTAAGTAAAATTTTTTGTAACCACAAGGGGTCTAAGTGAAAATTAGAAACCATAGAGGGTGATAAATTATTTCAGCATAATGGGTTTATGTCATAAGTTTAAAATCACAGAGGGTCAAATGATAAATCACAAAATCACAATGGGTGAAAATGAAGTTTTCCCTAATGTTTATTATGTTATAGGAGATAATTTTATTTCCTATACACACATAAAAGTATATGAGATTCATATTTTTTCTCTCTTCTCTTCACATGACCCCATATCTGCCTCACATATTTTTATATATATGTAGAAGATAAGATTATCTTCTATAATATAAGAAAAATTGTATATTTACATGGAAACGTTTTACAATGCCCTTCATGCAGAGGACATACTAGGCCAAATGCAGTAAACTGAACTGTTAATTTATTAAGGGTTCCATTTTTATTATATTATTGGAAAAAAGTTATTTGCAACAATTTATTATAACTATGTATTATGTAACGCCCAGCCGCTTCAAGAATCAATGACTATCCCCACATACTAACACGAGACTTTTCAGTGTGCTTTTTTCTCACTCGCACACTTCCTGGAAAAACTTTCCAGGAAGTCACCCATCCCAGAATTACTGCAAGTCAAGCACGCTTAACTACAGAGTTCTTCTATTCCGAATTACCGAAAAGTAGATGTATATTGTTAGTATAAGTAGTACCAATTAATTCTTATAAGTTATCCCAAACTGTGTAGTCTCATGCACAGTATTTGGAATTTCTCTCTTTCGGGTGTTGATTCGATTCATTCATTTAACCCCCGCTGGAAGTCTGACAAGAGCCGCTCCTTGTCCATGCCCTTTCGCACCGGCGATCACTCCCCGCCTTCGTCAGCGCTCGGGATGATACATGCCCACCAGCTTCCGCCTAGTTCGTCCTCGAACCACACCGTACTGGGAGAGAGGTCTTGCTCTGATACCACTTATAACGTCCGGCCACTTCAAGAATCAATGACTATCCCCACATTCTAACACGAGACTTTTCAGTGTGCTTTTTTCTCACTCGCACACTTTCTGGGAAAACTTCCCAGGAGGTACCCATCCCAGAATTACTGCAAGTCAAGCACGCTTAAGTATGGAGTTCTTCTGTTCCGAGCTACCAAAAAGTAGATGCATCTTGTTAATATAGGTAGTACCAATTAATTCTTATAAGCTATCCAAAACTGTGCAGTCTTATACCTGCACAGTCTTCGAAATCTCTCTCTTTCGGATGTTGATTCGATTCATTTATGTAACCCCGCTGGAAACCTGTCAAGAGCCGCTCCTTGTACATTCCCTTTTGCACTGGCGATCACTCCCCGTCCTCGTCAGCGTTCGAGATGTTACATATTACAGGTAGTACATAGTTATAATGGTAAAATTATTTTTTTTCTCCGCCATATCAGCCGACAATATCTGAAAAGAGAAAAAAACAGTTTTAATATTATAACTATGTACTATCCACAATACATAATTATAATGAATTGTTGCATATAACTTTTTTTAGTAGCAACATAAAACAATGATTTCCCATTTATTAATTAAGAAAAGTACAGGTTGGGACGAGTGACGTGAACTTGTTAAAGAAGTAAATCATATTGTCAGTGCTATGCGAGTAAGGGGGGTTATGTTGACAAACTTTTTTTTCTTATAAACTACATTAAGTCTGATTAGTCAGACTTTAACCAAGAGTGTCTGACTAGTCAGACTTAATGTAGTTTGTAATTTTATAAGAAATTTTTTTATCAATATAACCCTCCCCATGATAGTATGTACTCTTTTTCCAAAAAGTGAAAAATAAGAGGATATGAAAAAAATAATAATCATAAAGATAAGGATAGTATAAATGTGTTTTTTTCATATCTGATAAAAGATGTACTGAGTATTCGGTATATATGTAGTACCAAAAATATTTTGAAAAAAGTAATGAATAACATTTATATATTACAAACTTAGTTTCTAAAACGAAAAATGATATCATTTGAAAAAAAAAAACCTTAAAAGTGTGCTGCCAGTGCAAATGGTGGATATGAAGAAAGATATTTAAGAATAAAAACTTTAAAAAATTGCAAGAGTGCAAATCTAGAAATAAAAATGATTGCTTCAACCATTGTAAAAAGTGTCAAAGCTTAATTAAAGAAAATGGTTTAATGTTACCTATGTTGTAGGAGACAAATTTATTTCCTATCTACACAAATATAAAAGTGTATGAGATTAATATTTTCTCTCTCTCTTCTCCTCACATGGGTCCTACTACTTTTATGTGTATGAAGGAGATATATTTTTCTCCTAAAACATTAGAAATATTAAACCCTATAGAAAAAAAGGGATAAGAGTTGTGCCTACTTTTTTTATGCCTACTTTACATACAATCTCCAATTCTGTTAGGTCAGAATCTCAACTAACTTTCACCCTTTCTCTGTCTTCTTAAAATTCTCATCTAACGGTGTTAAAAAAGAGTAGGTAGAGTATGCATGAAAAAAGGTAGGCCCAGGAAAAATATCCAAAATCCAAAATCCAAAAGAAAAAAAAGGAGAAAAGAAAATAAAGGCCCAATAATTTTCTTAGCCCAAAGCCCAGTTAAAGTGTCTAGGTTCATTATATCCTTTTGTGTTTCTTATTAATGTGCCCATGTTTATTGCTTCTTTCAAGTTTCCCATCGGAAAGTTATAGTATTTTTTTTTTTACCTATACCAAGATCATTTGATCCTCAAATGTTTTTTTTTTTTTTTTTTTTTTGTATAGAAGATCCTCAAATGTTTGATACATCTAAAAATATCAAAAATTTGAGCTTAATATAAAGTAATACATGCGGGGTTTGACACACCAAACTTTGTATCCTTTTGCGGTAAATTCATTTAATTTTTTTTTAATTTTAAAAATTCACTTTTTATATTTAATTTTGAGACAAAGTGTTTATACTCTTGCAACTTTAATTTGCTTGCTCCTATAAAGAGAATGAGTGAGAAAAAGAAAAAGAAAACTTCTAACAACTAGATAGAATAATAGGTTTGCATCACAACTTGAACATGACTCAAGACATAGGAGTAACCTTACGTTTCAGACACAGGCAAAAATATAACTTCGGCAATTTGTTTCGTTCAAAACATTACTCTTCTCCGTGTGTGATCCGTTTCCAAGTATCCAAAAATAGGCTTTGAAATTATTGTTGCGAAGATTGCATCTGGGTCTTATTGCTGCTCTCTTGATTATTTCCAATTTTTAATCCCTGCGTGTCTGACATATGGGAGAAGACATTAATTTTCATGTTTGTGGTGCCAACTCAACAACGTGAACTTTACAACGCATGCAAAGGAAATAGCGACTTGTTAGGAGGAACATCTATGGACCCACGCGTCTTACATACGAGCTGTAACGTAGTACGGTATTAGGTTTGCGTTTTCCCCATATTATGACCATCCCCTGCATCTGCATGTATAAAGTCTTCAAAGATCTCACCCCCCAAAAATGGTAATAATTGAAAATACAAAAACTTCAAAGTCTCATACTTCAACCCTAATCAGGGTCCAAAAAATAAAATAAAAACCGTACCCCAACACTAATGTAAACTTACCATATATGAAATTCTAACCTGGGAAATTTTTGTTAAAGTTGCAGTCTCAGATAAGATTTGAAATTTAAGTAACAGCCTTATTATAGTCACCGATACAGCCAAGTCAAGCCAGTCAATTCCCCCTGCATGCGCTGACCTAGCTGTTCATTAGTGAGCAAGAAAACTGAATTAAATGATATTATTTAATATTTTTCTACCTGTATTAGAACCGCCAGAGCTAAACAACAAAGACTTGCAAGAGTTCTCTTTCGAGAAAAGAAAGATGAATAGGAGAAATATGTACCAAAAAAGAAAAAGATGAATAGGAGAAACAAAAAGAATGCAAAGAGAGTGGGGTGATGTTCAAAAATAAAAGCACCAATGAGAGAACAAGGCTTTATTGAACGAGAAAACTAATTCTATTACTACTATAGCCATGGACTCACACACCCCCCATCCCTCATTTTATATACAGCACCTGGGAAGCTCTAATGGTGCCTTCATCTTTATCGTTGTTACATGAGGACCCCTAAATCAACATACTTTATCCTCCAATGGATAGATCCCTGGTTTACACAAACACATGACAGCTCAACTTGGTTATATACACTCCAACTACTACTCAAAGAATACAACTGGTAACTAACAACCACAAGCCACAAGTACAACTGATACATCTTTCTTCACCTTTTGCTAGTGTTACAAGAGATAATTAACCATTTCTAGTTACACAGTAATTACTAACTAACTACATATCCCTACTGAACGTAACATTCTCACAAAAAACGGAATAACCAAATCTTAGGTAATAATCTTTGGCTCTCTTTGGCATATATGTTTTCCGTTTTGGATCCGCGCGTTTACAAAACTAATATACGTACTGTATGTACCTCGATCTAGTTATATATTATATATTATAATAATAAGACATGTGTTTGTTATTTTCCCTTTCAATGATCCAAAAAAATGTACATCAATATATATACTGAATGCATATGCATATGACATAATGTAATACAAGATCTTTATTTATCTTTCCATTTGTAGAAAAAAAAAATGAAAATAAGAACTAATAATCAGGCACTATAATCCACCAAAAAACTTAAGGGTGGAGAAAAAAACAACAAAAGAAACAATGACTAATTTAGAAATGGTCATCACTTTCAGCTAGTTGCGGTCACGGTTTCCCTTATACTAGACATAGAACGAACCGGCTCAGTGTCCTTCATTCTCTTGCTTTTAGTATGAAGCAACTTGAAACAAAACCCAGTTCTGCTTGCACTCTTATTATGACCACAAGGGACTCCACCTTCACGACTTCTCCTTCTTGGAATAAGAGCCAATGACTTGCTCTTTATGATTCCATGCTTGCCACTCAGCATAAAGAACGACACCGAAGAGCTACTCTTTCCCTCAGCAACAAAACGGAAACAATGCACTGGAGAAGCACAAGAAGAAGCGGAAGATGATGAGGAGTAATAGGACGACAAAGAAGAAGCAGAAGAAGAAGAAGAAGAAGAAGAAGAAGAGGTTGTTCTACGTGAGGTAGAAGCAGATAGTTGAGTAAGTTTTTCCCTCAAGCAAAGAGAACACACGCCAGGTGATTGGCGGTGTTTGGGGTGTTTCTTGCAATGACCGTTGGGCTTGACCCGGCCAACTATGTCCTTTTCCTTTGTGAATTGTTTTCGTAGGTTTTCCATTTTGCAAGCTTAGTCATCATTTGGAATTTGGTTCAGTTAGTTCATACACACACATATATATATATATATAGAGAGAGAGAGACTGAGAGAGATCGAGGCATGGAGAAATTAAGGTTGGGGGGTGTGTGCTAGATTTTCCATGATACTTCATGTGAGCTTCCTTGCGTTCTTCTCAAGATGTTCCTTTTGACGTTTTCATTCGTACAAGTTGAGAATTCTTGATGGTTAAATGAACGTGTGTGATTGAGGCAAGGGGGCCCCACGGGTGGAGTCGGTGGTTCTCATGCTTGCTATCTCAAAGCATTGTGGAAAAGGCCAAAGCTTTCTGTGGGCGGCGTGGAATATATATCTAAAGAGATTTATAAAAGTGTTGGCGAGGACAAAATCAAAGCAAACTAGGTGTACAAGTCATTTGGGTTTTCTCTAATCAACTTCTATAATAAGTCATCGGTAGATTATAATAAGGGACATTGTAGGATATACATTTTATCCTCTGCACCCAAAAAAAATATTTTGGATTTATATTTTTCTTTTCTTTTTATTCTTCTCACATTGCCTTCTATAAACTCCAAACATTTTTATATATAAATATAGAAAATAAAATTATTTTTTGTAACACAAGAAAATTTTATATTTTGTAACACAAGAAATATTAATTCCTTATAATAATATTGGCATGTATATATGCTTTTTCATATTCATCATTTTTCACGACTCTATAAATGGTTTTACATTACACATGGATATATTTTTTGGGATATACACAGATAATTTATGTATGGAGGATTTCAGCAAGCATCATTATTTCTCTTAAAAGTTAATATGCGCTCAACAATATGATCGTTATCTTCATTCTTTTTCCCATGAAAAAAAAGACAGTAAGTTGACTCTTAATATATATGTCGGTACGTTGGGAATCTTAATAAATTTTTTTTTGTAAATAAAAGTGCAGAGAATTTTGGACAGAAAATTTATGAGTTCGGCGATAAAATATTATTAATGAAACTTTCTTTATTTTTCTCATTTACCACTTTATTTGTATTTACTGGTATTTTTTTTCATATTTAATATCGTTAAACAATGGGAAATCATTTACTATTTTAAGACGCGCGGTAAGCCTTTTCTCTTACGGTGTAAGGATCATGATATATTTATATACACCTGAATTAATCTAAATTCAACACGAAAAGTTGCTAACTTCGAAAAAGATCAATATTTTACACTTAAGAGTTAAGACACACAAGTGTTTAAGTCCTTTGTAGGAAATAATTCTTATTTAAGATTTTGATGTACCAAAAATATAAAAATACAAAATAACGTGTAAGAATTATTTTCTTCACATAATTCTCTAACATGAACAAGGATGTAGACCGATGACTTGTAAGTATTCTTTGGTATTTTGAATTTGGCGAAGGGACACGAAAGAACCGGGGAAGAAATATACATATAGTTATGAAACTGACATGTGAATTTGCACTGGAAAAAAAAATAAAATAAAAAAAGCAAGGAGAAAAAAAAAAGATTCAGAGTAATGTTGTCTAATATTTATCGAAATGACGTCGTTTTGGGACAAAAATCATTGTGTATTTGTAATTTTAATTTATTTCAGGGTTATAATAATTTTTATTATTCTAATTTTTTAATTTTTCAATCCAAACGACGTTGTTTCAATAATGATCATTAGATAAAATTATCTAAAGTAACATTAGATACTTTATCCCCATAATTTATTTGTATTATATAGTATATACTAAACTATTTTTGCCGCGGTGTGAGTCTGAAGAGCAAATTGTTAAAAGAAATGAAAACTCCGAAAGCGTTGTTGGAGACAACTGTATGTGGTTTACAAATCTAGGACAAAGGCATTAAAGACCACTAAATTTTCGCATATGAGGGCCATGTCGAAACCCCATTTCCCACTTGTCTTTTGCTACTGCCGCAAAGTCAGTTATCACTTAGTAAATTTGAATGGTTTGCTGGCCAATCCTTGATGTTTCTCTTATCATCTTTGATCTTTCTTTACTTTATTATTATTATTATGGACTTTGTGTGTATTAAAGAAGGGGCAAGACGTGCTAAGTTAAGTTGGAAGGACAAAAGAGTTTTTATTTTTTGTTTTATCTTTTAACACAAAGCTCTACTTTTTATGTCAACCTAAGCAAATTTCATGGAAATGCAATCAACTTATCTTTATGTCTTTCCTTTGTGAGGATGGAAACTAATACTAATAGATCAAATTTGGTTTCTTAAAACAGATAACCCCGTTCATTTATCGCTGTAGTGCTGATGAACCTACATGTGAAAGGATTTAAAAATTTAGTGTCTTAACTTGACGTTTTGAGCTAAAATTTGTTGGATTTTTTATTTAACCCATTGTTAATAGCCTCTTCTATTTGAGCTCCCCCATCAATTACCTAAGAATTAAAATTATTCATGGGTGATTTCAAATAATGTCGGACTTAATTATTTATTTTTCACACTTGAACTTTCATACCTTTAAAATAAAAATTTACTATTTTTTATGTCATTGAAGTAAGAAGTAGAGCATGACAACATAATTAACTGGCTAAATTTTGTTTAGGTAGTTCCTTGTGAGCTCTCAAGCCCGCACTTTTTTTTTTCATCTATTCACTTCTCTCACATATTTGTCATGAGTAGAAGCATAGGTACTATTTAAAGTTATCACAGTATGCACAAATATATTGTTCGTTAAGGTGGCTTCCTATAACTATTATTCAGAAGGTCACCCTTCTAGTTATCCACAAGATGATTCACGGATATCATATATTGATTTATCAAAATGCATCACTTTTGAGAAAACAATAGAATAGGGTGGAGAGAGGCTCAAATTGCAAAATGTTATAACTTCAAAGGGGTATATTGTAAGGAAAATCAATTGGTCGTGTTGCAGAACCACTTAATAATTTCCAACAGACTCGTTAAAGATGTGTCCCTCATGATTTTTTTTATTTTTTTTTTAAATTTAAATGGATCCCATATATTTTTCTCTCACTATGGGACACAAAGCTCTTCCAGCAACATGACCGAAGATTTCCCCATATTGTAATATATGATAGTTTAAGGAATTAAACCGCATTACATGCCATAACCACAATATAAAGGGTTATTAATTATCCAAAAACTCAGATAAAGTTAGTCAGTTGTTACTTATAATTTGATTTTAATTCAATTTATTTACAGTTTAAAATTATTTAAAAAATTTCTCCAAAAAAATTATTTAAAAAAAATTACATAATTTTCATATAATGTTAAATGATTACTATTTACTATCTATAATTTCATATAAAATGGTTTCAAAAAAATTTCCATTATAAATATGGAACAAATCAAGTTAATAGGAATTATTTTACATTATAATTATCAAATGAATAATTTGTCAAAAGTTGAATGTGCAGATCATGGAATGCATGCCAGCAAATTTTTTACAAAGGTAGTCATATTATATATATTGATCTCAAAATAGTTTTTTATTTTTAACAAATGGTGATAGTTTTTCTTTTTTTGGAGTTACCCAACCCTAATTATCTCTTTGAGACGAGTTGGCTCCCTCCGGTATCCCCACGAGCTTCGACTCTTTGAGCCGGCTATGAGACTAATCCGGAGTGCGGGGGAACAGTGATGGCTAAAGGTTCAGCCCCCTCCCCAAGAATGCATTCAGCGGGAATCGAACACATATCCAACCCCACTAACTCAGCGCCAAGTAACCAACAAATGGTGATAATTTAGTTGGTGCCTACGAATTGAATAGGTGGTGAAAAGATCCAAGTTCTATCCACATCAATACTATTTTTAAGAAAGTTTAAAATCTTAATTATTAACATGTCTCAAATTCAGAATTAGTCTAATAATTGATTCAAAAAGCTGAAACTCTTGAATATACCTAAAAGATTCTACTCGTCTCAAGTAACTAGGTTGATATAAAAAATTTACTATTTTTATTGGGATTTATGCATCAAATGGTATCCAAATAAACGCTAACTTTAACGACTGAACAACGAAATTTCCTTTCGCAAGTGTCAAATTCAAATCCAATTAAAACTCTAGAAACAAAATTCATGGAAACGAGGGACGAACTTACATGTCTTGACAAGTACCACCGACCAAATGGTTTCCTCATTCAATAAACTTTATGAAGAGTGTGTGTGAGAGAGAGAGAGAGAAAAGCCTACCACAAAAAAAATACAAATTAAAAAAGATCTGTGGAATTTTATTTCTTTTTTGGAAAACGATCTGTGGAAATTGAAACACACTTCCACTTCAATATCCAAATTGACTCGCACCAAAAAAAAAGAAAAAAAAAAGAAAGAGTTCCGAATAATATCTGTATCATTCAATAAACTTCAATATCCAAATTTCCCTCTAATGGTTCAGGCTCAACACCAAATATAGCAGACGAAAGTTCCTTCATTTTCCAAACACCAACTTCAACTCAATTCAATTTCAGATTTTTCTCAAAAAAAGAAAAAAAAAGATAGTGCCTTGCCCAATTTTGCAGGCAGAGAACAAAGACATGTTTGAAGAGATGATGTGATTTGTTATGAAGATGGGGTAAGGGAAAAGGGAAAAAGAAAAAGAAGGGGACAATGTGGAAGAAAATAGCAATTGGGTTTTACTGGAAGGCTGATTTCTGGGGTTACTCATTGGAATTCACGATTTTGTTACTGCTTCCATTGTTGTTATTGTCATTGCTATTATCACTTGCATTGTCCCTCTTCTGTGTATTATTTTCTTGTTCCCCTTTCAAAACTTGTTTGTAGATCCTGATCGAGATCGAAACTTGTTCCCCTTTCAAACCCTAGGAATCCATAACCCACGTATTAGATATTAGGTATAAGGGTAGTTTAGTATTTTAATGATATTCTATATCTCTTTTTTCTGTTATGCTCTTCTATATAAGAGCTCAATCATTGTACAAATTAATGACCACAATCAATGAAATCAATATTTTCTCTTTACTCTCTTTTAGCTTCTAATACCAC